TAAACATGTGACATAATGACATAACCACAAAGATAAACTACTATTCCTTAAGATAGACAGGTTTTTATTGTTTTATAAAAAAGGAAACACTAAAATTAGTCCAAATAAAGATTGGAATCCGTTGGTAGGAATGCGCATTAATTGAGACTCATGCCCACAGTCCATTGCTGATTAATTCAATAACGAGGTGGTCGCGTGCGGCAGGTTATTAACGCGCAATTATGAACCGCGTGTAAGTTTGGCCGAAGGCGGTCGTCGTGCTTAATTTCCAACCGCGTTGTTTTATTGCTGCATTTATTATGTGTCCCTCTATTGATGCGAGCGTGTTGATAACATGCGTTTGCTTTCCGAAATAAAACCACATATTATTGCGCTTGGAACGCACAATTACGCACGAATGCGAAATGCAAAACGAAAAAATCCGGATGGAAATTAATTTCCCAGCGTTTTAATGGGTGATTAACCCGAAATCGCGCTGGGAATTCATTGAGTATATACCATTTTCAGCAGTTTTGTGTATTTTACTATTTTAGATTAAAAGCACGATAATTTTTCGGATAAAAATACGCGCTGCTTAATTTTTGTAATTTTCAGTTGTGGAACTAATATTTATTCGGAAACATATTGTATTACACCTTGACGTGTATTAAATTTGTGAAAAAGTGTGAAAAGCTTTTGATATGAGTTTTCTTGACTTGACAATTTTCTAGGCAAAAAAAGTTCGCCGAAAAAAAACATCGCTTCAGTGCGGTGGAATGATTGAATTTGTTGTGCGCAATGTTATCGCCCTGTTGCAGAATCGGCGAGCAAAACGTTGTTATCGCACGCCGGCCGCTGGCAGCTCACACCACGCGTCTTCGGCACCACCGCGGCATCGCGACGCCCTCGGAAAATATGAAAAATGACATATTGTCGCGGCATTCGCCACCGGCATCTAATACACACAACACACATAAATCTTGCATGCATCGCTTGCTTACTGTTGTTGCCGGAATATCGTAATAAATGCAATAACAAAACGGTTCACAAATTTTCCTAACGATGATAAACATAAATAGTCAGAGAAATAGACAAATTTATTATAAAAAATATTACACATAAAATAATTATAATTAATTATTAATAATGTTTTATTTATAATCAAAATAAAAATAACAAAAAATTTATTTTTTTATTTTGAAAAATTTTATTTTCAATCAAAAGTCTAACGTTGTGGTTAATATCTCCTTCATTGATATGTATGAATCTTGAAACTCGACATGAATAAAAATAAAAAAAGATGAGACGCCAACCAGTATTTATTTTGTCTGCTTGAATTAATAAAGAGCCAGCATGAAAGAAAAACCACAGCACAGTGTGAGTGCATGTGCCACATTCAACAGTATAGAGGTGATTTAAAGAACTTGTGCCGAACCAGTGAGTGAGTGTTTGTATGCGGATGGATACGAGACGAGAGTTTTATCACGACCATGTGAGATGGCTCCGGGTATTGACTCGCAGAGTGTATGATAGAGATACGTGCCGTGGTGTGGTGTGGGTGGGTGTGAGGAGGTGGTGCATATGGGCGCCAGAGTGTATTGGCAATTTTGTTGCAAATTCCAGACAGCGCGAGAGATAAAATAAAGGAAAACACCGCCAAGGCTTTACTCCTCCTCATACACATTCTCTCCTTCAACGTCCGCGAATATATCATGGATGATGTAAAAGTAACTTTGCCCGCAAGAATTGAAAATTCATTGACTGCTTTCGGAGATGTTAAAAATTTACTTTGTAATTTTATATTGATACATAATATATATTTTCGGATGGCCTGTAGTTTTGCCCTAGTTAACAATTAATTTAATTAATACCAACACAAAAACATTAATGAATTGAAGCCAATGCAATTATTCCAACTTGTGGAAATTGCATTTCACTAAAATACATAATAAAGTGTCACAATTAAAAGTGTGCAGCATTTTCAGTGAACAATTTGTTGCAATATTTTTGTACGAGTTTAACAATTGAACACGCGTGGAATACATATTTGAACAAATATCAAATATGCATGCGGTTTCTTCCAATTCAATTAATGTCAATTATTCAGCGTGTTGAAAATATCTCTCGCTACAATTTATAAAAATTCATTGTTTTCCACTCTATATGTAATAAAATTGAGGTTAATAATGTGTTTTGTTTATTATTAGAAGATACGCATTCCAAACTTCATACACATTGAGCCTCAAGTCAAATGTTGAATGAAAACTCCCCGAAGGTGAGTTTTACCCACAAAATCTATATGCGCACATGCGTGAAGAAAGCAACCACTTAGCATACCCTCCGCAACCGCTCGGCACATTTACCTTCGAAAGTCAAATACATTTAAATATTTAATGAAAACCGTACTGCTTGCCTTGAGCGCATGCGACGAAGAAAAACGATCGGGCGTTAGACCTCCAATCGTAAACGAAAGGAAAAGTTTTAAATTTACTTTACTACACTCAAATAAAACTTCTGCAAAAAATCAGCCAAACAAAAATTACGTTTTTTGAGTTTTTGGGAAAGTATGGTGTTTAAACATGTGAACGCGCGACGTTGTAGAATTAAACAAGAAGCGGAAAAAAGAAAAGGGACCAGCATTGTAGTAAAAATTGTTTGAGGACACAAGCGTGTATAATTTATTCGTCTCGCCCGTCGTTCTTGACGGCGCTCCACAGTCGCAGTAAAAGAAATTTGAAAACTGTCGTGCGTTTCAAGTTTTTTTGCGTTGGCCTAGCTGCGCTACGCGATGTATATGGTGGCTGGGTAAACAGTGAACGCGCAAACAGTGGAAAGTCCTCGCTGAGAACAAATTAGTTCGGTTCTCCGAACGTCGGAAGTCGCGGCAAACTTTTTTACGTTTCGGCCCGCAAACGCAGCGCTCATAAATCGTTTGTTTCATTCTATTAATTTATTTCGAGCAGGGCAAAACTTTTTACTTAATTATTTTCTACATCTGCGCAGCGTAATAAAACGTGAGTTAGAAAATTAACAACGTTAGAAAACATTAAATATTTTTCGTATTAAAAAAACAAAAATAAATCATAATTTTATTTCTCAAAATGTTAAAAATGTGCATAAATTTTTAGTCTTGAGTAATTTCGTCAGCCTGCATTATTAAAGTTGATGTCTAGTTTAATATAAATTTACGCGCAGCAAAAGATTGACTTCCATGAAGCTTAAGGCAATGAAAGCTCCGCATGATGCGGAAGCGTGCAACGGCTTTACGCCGTGGCGCCGACGTGATGCTGAAATATGCGCGCAACATATGACGGTAATTAATGCAATGACAGATGGTGCATGGTAATATAATGTGCACGCCTCGGCTGTCGACACGTTCGTGCATTGTCTTACGTGCAGGGGATGCTGCACGTCTCGCGGAAAGTAAACTAGTCTTTGCAGCGCTGAAATTTGGTTGCTGTTTCATGTTTCTCACATATTCCACGCATAGAATTCTGTTTTCAGGCTAAAGAAGTTACAAATTACCAAATGAACTTTTTGGTTATGTTGGTCCAGGTAATTTCCGGGTTTTGATGTGTTTCCGGTTACCTGCCAAAAATAAACCCAAGCTGGTATACGGATATCATCTTCCGTTTCCTGTATTTTTTTTAATTTTTTTATTTTTTGACGTTATTTCTTGTTAAATTTGTATTTATACGACTACTAATTAAAATTACAGTTTGGTTACTCCTAACACGGCTTCATTAAACTATTATCAACACATTTGTTGGGAACAATTATACGGCGCACAAACTACGCGCGTGTTTGCGCCCGGCGCCTCCACCATCGCATCGTGTTTGAATGCGATCGAGGGCGGTGCACATTGCTGCGAGGTGGATTAATAGAGAACGGACGATAAATCAACCGCTGGCAATGCAAATCGGAAGACAATTGTCCTTGCTGTGCGCGGGCGAGGAACGACCAACAAACGAAGTTGGCCAACGGCGGTCGGTGTAATGTCGGAGGGTTTGTAACGAGCGCGCGCTCTGTTTGTCTATCTGGTCCTTCCAGATACGAGATTTTAGATTCTGGTTTGGCCAAGTACGCAATTTCGACTATCAGGAGTGGCGCCGGTGTCGGACATCTCTATAAGGAGCTCCGGTCCTTCCCAAAACCGACGACTAAATCTTCAGAGGCGGTTTAGATTTTTTAAACATAATTTTACATCAAAATGTTAAAGATTAAATCGGTGTATGTAATTTTCGCGTTGCTTATCAACGCTTAATTACATTAATTTGTAATTAACATGCAAAATTTGTCCTGAAAGCTCACCGAAGCTCATTTTGTCGGCTTTGCCCTAAATTTAAACGAAATTTGTTTGTTTTTGTATTTTGATTAGCATGTGTGAATTTCCCGCACATGTGCTGCGTTTTAATATTCACATTCATTAGGTGTGTTTCAAGCCAAGCTTGTACTAATGCATTAATTTTTTTCTCTGCGCGCGAGCCTTGATGCAAATTGCCAGCGGGGATTTGGTCGACATCCTCAACATTCAAACGCATTGCATAGCGCTCTGACCCTCCGCCTGCCTCCCTCGTCATTATCATTACCAAATGGGAATTAAAAGCGTTCAGTAAAATGAGATCATCATTTCATTTCGTTGTAGCGTACATAATAAAAACAACGAATAGGAGAATTAACTGCAAATAATGAGCGTAAATGAGTGCGGATTCCTTTTTGAAAACATTTTAAACAACGCTCATTTATTTTTATATAAATAATGCGAATGGTATACACAATGATTTATATTGTGTTTAATGGGATGTACATTTTTGTAAAAAATAAAATCCTAAGTTTTTTGTCAGTTTTATGTTGTAATATGATACTATTTGTGTTTTTTTCTGAATTTTGTAAAAAAAAAGTCTTTAAATCTTTTTTTTCTTGAGGTAAAAATGTAAAGATTGAAAAAGATTTCCCACTAAGCGATTTGCTTTACCCAGCAGTGAAAAAATGAGATCAACCGGAGTAGTAGAAACACTAACCTTGCGCCTTAATGGTGGCCAGCATCCGCAAACAAAGCAGGACGAAGAGGAAGGGCCATTTCTCCAGTCCCATGACGGCTGTTTATCCAACTACCCTTTATTTAACACGCCGGCGTGCGCGCCATCGTTGGCTTTATTGCAGCTGGGGAATTCACTCATGTCACTCTCCTGGCGCGAAGAAATTTGCGCCGAAATCACTTTCGTTTTCTTGGCAACACTTTTCCACGCCGCTAAAAAACCACCGCCCGATTACTTCACCTTTATCCCTCTGTTTCCGACCACAAATTCAAGCTGAGTGACTTTCTAAATTTCACTTGAAGAATCTGCAACATTAAAACAAACATTCAAAAATTATTACCTCCACCAGAATGCTGTTTAAAGTGATATTACACTAAACATAAAACCACACCGAATCGATTTATGATATCCACAATAACCGTAACTATTGGCAGCGCGCATTGTAATTCTGAATCGCGGCAAATATCACTCGTTGGTTTTCTGCGTGCAATTTGTACGATTAATTGTTTGTTCGATTTTTAATCGACTCGGCGAGCGCGCGATCGGCACGTTTTCAACGCGTCCGGCACATTTGATCGTCGGCGGCAGCGGGCTCATCATGGTCGTAATTCATATTGTGGCAGCATCATCCCCATGCACATCATCGGTTGAAATTGCTAAAGTTGGATATTGTAGAGAGTAGGCGCGGGCGCTGCGCTGGATATTGATGATGTGGAAGCGCTTCGCTCGCCTCTCGTTCGCGTCATTCTACGGTGAATAAATCCATCGATTATACGCATGCCATTTAACGGCCGTGCTTCCGCAACTGCAATTATTGCTAACGTGCCTATCTGTATGCACGCACATTTGTTTGTGCTTGGTGCCGCGCGATGCAATGCATTAATGCGCAAATATTTCCACTCTTATAACACCCATTTTTGCATAGTGAAACGTAAAAACCGCAAAACAAGAAATAATTTCATTCCAATCTACAGGAAAACGATTCAATCAAAATATTTATACAAAATTATGAATATCTTTAGTTTTAAACACAAATATTTATGTATTTTGTGTTTATCCTGATTTTATTTCACTATAAATAACAATTATTAATATTGAATTACTTTGCTTTTATATTTCAACATTGTAACTGTATTTTTCATTGTTTCAGCTTTTACAATATAATTTATTCGCATATTCGTGAATTTCCCTAGTTTGCCACACTGTGAATGCAGTTGATGTTCGTCTAGGTAGAAAGCACATTTTCAGCGCGTTGCATGATGCCGTCATCATCATCCGCACGTGAAAGCATCTCAGCGGACAATAAACTTTATTACGTTCTGCACAAGCGTCGAAGAGCACCGCATCAACCCGACTTACATCATCCGAATCATACAGGATTCACTTGCAAGATAAAACTTTCGTAAGAGGTCATAACTGTTGCATCTCGTAACGCCGCATTTATTCATTGATGTAATTTTAATTTATAATATTATTTCCAGCTACATTGTAAATAAAATATTATACTTTGTTTGTGTTATGAAACAAACTCAGAAATTAAATATAAACCACACTGGAAGAATATTGCGGGAGAAAAAGAGGACATTTTTTAATAAAGATTAATTTAAGTCGTCTGGTGGCGAGCGCCACTATTCCTCAGCGCTGTCAAGCGTGTCTGCCTTTCTGGCGTTAGTTACGACATCGTTTTCCACATTGTGGAAAAACGTGTGCACATTCGTTTCGCCCTCAAACAGTCGGCGTGCGGTAACACAGTGTGTGATATTTCAGTTGGTGCGTAGTTTTTGCGCGTCTGCGGCGTGCAGGTGCATTTGTTTTCGAACCGACTGTAGAGTGTAAAAAGAGCTGGCTTGCTCGGTATGCACGAAACGTAATAAAAATATAATACTTTTGTTATAATATGCGAAATTTATTAAACCTTTTATGCGTCGCTCGTCCGGCGTCGTACTTTTTACGGCCCTAGTCAAAAATGGAATATTTACATCGTATACATGCGACAGTGTGGATGTAAAAGTGTAGTAAACGAAAACGTGGACGTGCGAAAACGTCCAGGGCCGTTAGATGAGCATCCAGATAAGCATCATGGTTGAAATAAACGTAGAGTTGGTTGCATACCATAAAATTATTTATATTAACTTATAAAAAAGTGTTTTACATATTATTTTACTTCTGTAGTCGCTGACAGTTGATAAATAATTAAAAACACATTTATTTTAGTAAAAAAAATATTTTTTGAATTAAAGTGTTGAAGGAGGTTCGGAAATTTAATAAAAATGCCTTCACACCATGCTGGGTGAAGTCAAGAGTCGACCTAGGTTGGTCTCGGGCGCGTTTGATTGGAAATGCTCGATAATGCATCACGATTCGCCGGCATTTCATCGTAATATACGCCGGATTATTAGTAGGCGCAATACGTTTGCACAAACGCGCCAATATAGCGCCGAACATGACAAAGCATCTTGTCCCCGCAGAGCGTCTCCCGCAATTCCGTGGCGCGCTGCTTCCGTTCGAGCATAATCGCACGCAGCGCATATCGCTCATATCGGATTCGAGGCGCGTCGCCCGCCTGAATCGTCGACCCGGATTAATTAGCATACGCTTATCCGCGGCAGCGGGCGACGGCCCACGAGCGACGTCTTGCCTGCCTGATGATGCTCCGGCACTTTGCAATTTAGATGATTATCAGCGCAATAATAATGCAATGTACGAACGATATCTACGCATTATAATCCTCGCACGCACGCCGCCACGTCGCCCTCATTGCTGGCGGTGCGGTATGACTCAAAGCAAAGGCGGAGGCGCCTCCGCCAGTGGGGGTAGAAATGTGAAACTCAAACTAGGCCAGCAGGCGAGCGAAATATGCAGGCGGCGAAGGAAGGAAACGCTGCGAAAATGGAACGCGAATGTGGAGTGGGATTTTACATACGACGCAGGAGGGTTTTAGACCACAACCAAATGTTGCGCAACGTTATTATACCCAGAGAAGAGGATGCAAGCAAAACATGCTTCAAATTGATTACACGCATCTAAAGCTACTTACGGTATGTCATACCATTACCAAAACTACAAGTGAAAACAATATTTTTAAAGATTTTTATTTATAGCGACAAGGGATTTTGTAGAATACAGAATTGGTTGAATATTTATCAGAATATGTCTTTGCGCACGTGCCGGTTCATAAATATTCATTAATTCCCATCTCAGAGGCGCGAACGCCATGCTAATGCATGAAAAGCAGAAATATCGCGAATATTTACAAATATTCAAAGCTTTCTAAAATACAGAAGCATACAAAAATAAAATATCACAAAAGTATGTCAAATTTTGACACAACTTTATCCTTCATCACAAAATATACATTTTGATGGCGCGTGTCAGCCGTCACGCCTAGTTTTCCACCCTCGCACAACACCCCATTAATATTATTTGATGAAGGACCGTTGACAATGTTGGTATTGTATTGCAATAGGTGCGTATTATTGGCTCTGTCAGCAACATAAGTATCTCTGTCTGGAATCTCCGGGGAGATATTGAGAAGTAAAGCGGTTCCGGTAACATTCGCCGCGGGGATGATGAGCGAAGATGAATAATGCGTCTGTTTTGGCACGCCGATATATCTATTTGTTTACTCGCCCAGCCGCTGCCACTGTAAACGGTCCAGCAAATGTTATTGTGTAATGAGGAGTGACGCACTTCTGTGAATGCTTTAGAGGCTTGTTTGTCACGTCACCGAAATAATCAACTTAGTCAACACACGCCCATTATGATAGATCTAACTGAATCAATTCTATACAAGCACAAACATACTATTTATTTCAAAAAACACAATTTTCAAATGTAAATGTAATTTATGAATGAAAATTAATTAACATTGTTCTTGTATTTTCTGTTTTGTGTTTTCGGCTTTGTGTTTTGATTCCTTCGCCTTTAACTTTCTGCGAAACCCGCATTCACCTGCTTCAGGCGTCTCTTATCGTAGCTTATTAACACACGCCCGAAGTAAAACTCCGTTTTCTACTCCCTTATGACTTATAAGCGCACAATATACAAACAGAATATTGCAGACGCAATGAATTCGCCGTACACGTTTGATTCACTTCCGTTTTCTCTCTGTGAAACGAAAAAAAACCGTAAAATGTATGAGGTAGCGCACGGGCCACAGAAACTCATTAATATTGATTTGGTTCGGTGGATGTTGACGACTGCGACGACCGCAACCCGACGGGGGCAATCAGGTTAATGTATTTCGTGTATTGAATGGTGGAGGCGCGTGTTTGTTTGCAGCTTTTCGCACCCTGTAGCCTAGGGCGCTTCTTAATTGAATAAAAATCAGAGGACCGAAAATTTCCCCGATATCCGTTTGCCAACGTCGACGCAAAGACGAAGCCTAATGATGATGACGCCATCGGCAATGATGAAAAGAAAATGCAAACCGAACAATTAAGCTTGCGCAACTAATTAACGGAACTACGGATGCGTAAACAAAATTCACAATACAATAAAATTTTATTAAATTATTTAACGTTATTCCTTGTGTTGTTGCATTAACGAACTGATTTGTATTCTAAAATTGAGCGTGTGGAGGCGCCGGGCATCGTTTTTGATAACGGATGCCCGGTCCGGCGATAGCTACCGGCATTTTCATTCCATTATTCGAGCCGGTGGGAAAACGTAATCGACGTGCGGAACCAATTAAAATTGTTATTGTTAATGCTATTAAAACCTATTGATTTATATACGTTTCTGTTCAGGGGTTGTGCGCGCCTGTGTTGTATACGGGTTGCCACAGATATGGGCGCATTTTTGCCTACCCAAACCAGTGTGTCCAGCTTTATCAGCACAAATTACACATTTCGAGAGCCGAAAGTTTACTACGGATTAATTCGCTGTGTTTACATCAATCAGCGATATATACGTTGTTTCAGGAAAAATCAACATTGACACGGATATGAATAATTTAGTTTATAATTTAGTTTATTACTTTACCATGTTTAATAAATTATTTCTTTTTTGTTGATTGTTTACTAAAAGTTTTATATTTTGATGCATTAATTTTTTAATAAATGTATTTTATTTTATGTATTATGGTTTTTGATTATAAATATTAAAAAAAAGAACAGAGTTAATTGAGTATAATATAAATAAATACTTTTATAGTTTGCTGTTATAAATTTTATATCAATATTTAAATTGTAAATTAAACATAAATAAATAACAATCTAACAATACCAAATTACAAATCTGGCCAACTTTTTAATAATACAGATTAATTTGTATAATAAACATATTTTTTATAGCATTTATAAGT